ACAGCGCCCCCTGGCGGCCGGGAGGTCCTGTCGCGTGCTCCTCGCCAGGGCGCTGCGGGCCGGGGAAGAGGGCAGGGGATAGGGCAGGGGATAGGGCAGGATAGGGCAGGGGATAGGGCAGGGGATAGGGCAGGATAGGGCAGGGGATAGGGCAGGATAGGGCAGGGGATAGGGCAGGAGAGCGCAGTACAGCACAATACAGCACAGTGCAGCACAGGCACAAGCGGCACCTCTAGTGGCTTTCCCTATAGGAAGCCTCTATGAAAACGGGGGAGGTGTGCGCAGAAGATGGCGAGGTGTCTAGAGTTTATGAAGTGCAGAAGGGCTCTCTTCCTGTGAAGGGAGGTGATTCCTACAGCATCTTGGGGAGGAGATGCCTACAGAAATGAGCAAATGCAGGTAACTAGAGTGGTGTCCTCTATGGGAATGCCTATAAGGGGCACAGGAGGGAGTCCACAGAAGTTAGTGGCTAGGAGAAACCTTCTAGAAAAGGAGATGGTATCTGTAAGGGACCAGAGGAGCTCATACAGTAATGCAGACCTGCAGGTGCATTGGCTATGGCTCATGGTATAAAAGATCCTATAGAAGCTGAGGTGTGTGGACAGAGGGGCTGGAGAGTTTCATACAGTAAGGCAGTGTCTACAGTTGACTAGAGGGAGACCTTACGGGCACCAGTGGCACGGCAGGAGGGGTGTCCTAGAAAAGGCTGTATGGACAGCTGGCAGCCCTTATAGAAACAAAGAACTGCCTGCAGGGGTAGGGGGAAGCCCCTACAGAAAGTAAGGTCTGTACATAAAAAGGCTGGGGTCTCTAGGGCCTGGGAGAGAGCCCCCTGTATAAAGCAGGGGTGGAGGCAGCCTTCCAGAAGTGGAACTGATGGTGACAGAGAGAAGGGAAGAAAGCCCCTCTAGCAACAAGGGTCAGCCATGAGAGAAGCTGGGGAAAACACCTACATAAGAGAGCAGCCAGAAGCAGCTTCCTGTGAAAGCAGATGGTGTTCACAAGGATTAGGGAAAACCCTACAGAATGACAGTTACAGCCACAGTAGCTCAGGGGCAGTACCCTACAAGAGATGGTAGTATGTACAAGGATCAGGGGAACCCCTACAGAAACAAGGGCCCAGTGGAGGGCCTGAAGCAGAAATTTTTTTTCAGAAAAGTTTTCAGCTTAGAGCAATATTTCTGCACTTGAAATTAATCTCTTGCAAGCTTTTATTTAAAGGACAGGTAACAAGTCTCATACCTCAAAGATTGCACAATGTCCCTCCCAATTTACTTATCATTCTGAAAGTATCCATTTCAGCACTGACTAGTTGAGGAGGGAATCACAGATCACCCAGGTACTTCCTGCACCACCAGCTGGGAAAGCAACTTCCCAAAAGAGCTGCAATGACCACCTGCTCAGATTGTCAGACATGAGTCACCAGACAGCACACAGATTCATTAACATCTCACAACCCATTTTTTGCATTTAATGGTGTGAATACATATGCAATGAACAGCAACGATCCCAAAAGACGAGTTGTGCGAGTTCCACCAAGTTGTGTCTGAGATGGAGCTGTCATTTCAGCAATGCAAGAGGACCTTCTCCAAAAACAGTTTGGTACCAGGTATCAGCACAACTCTCTCAGCCAAGGTAGTTCAGGCTTCTGTATCAGTTTTCGGAAGGAGGGCCATCATCAGGAAAAAAGAATGATTTCACACGCCTTAGCAGTCGAGTAACAGGAGGTTGAACTTCCTTGTATGTTACTACTGTTGTCACTTTAAATCCTAAAGCTGTTTCTCTAGTGAAAACTTCCTTGCGGGGTCCTTGCTTTTCATCAGGATCACTTTCATTCTCTAAAGAAAAGGGGGGTAAGGGAGAAAGACAAAAAAATTAAGCATAGAAAAATAAAGGCTTAATCCTTTCATCATGGCAAATCATCAGTCATGTATGCATTCAGTTTTCTTTTTTTTTCTCTTTCTCAAACTCAAAAATAGATAGCAAAAATCTGGTGACTGTGTAGACAGAAAACATGGTTTACTAAAGTAAGATAATTTGCTGCACTAGTATCAGTACTACAGCACCAGCAATAACAACTAACTTCCATGTTATCCATATTACAGCTCGCTCCACATTACTACACCTTAATAAGCAGCAGGCTACTGAGGAAGAGAAAGAGGAGAATAGAATAGAATAGAATAGAATAGAATAGAATAGAATAGAATAGAATAGAATAGAATAGAATAGAATAGAACAGAATCTCAGAATGGTTAAGGTTGGAAAAGACCTCGAAAATCATTAGGGTTCCAACCTCCCTGCTATAAAAGCAGGGACACCTCACTCTAGACCAGGTTGCACAAAGAAACTTGGCCTTAAACACTTCCAGGGAGGGGGCATCCACAAGCTCCCTAGGCGGTCTATTCCAGTGCCTTACCATTCTCACAGTGAAGAATGTCTTCCTGGTGTCTAACCTAAACCTACCCTCTTTCACCATTACCCCTTGTCCTATCACTACCCTCTCTGGTGAAAAGCCCCTCCCTAGCTTTCCTGTAGGCTCCTTTCAGGCACTGGAAGGACATTATAAGGTCTCACCAGGGCCTTCTCTTCTCCAGGCTGAACAGCCCCAACTCTCTCAGCCTGTCTTCATAGCAGAAGTGCTTCAGCCCTCAGATCATCTTTGTGGTCCTTCTCTGGACACTCTCCAACAGCTCCATGTCTCTCTTGTGCTGAGTGCTCCAGAGTTGTACACAGTACAACAACAGACTCTGCAGTCTCTAATGAGCAGAGTAGAGGTGCAGAATCACCTCCCTTGCCCTGCTGGCCACACTTCGTTTGATGCAGCCCAGGATGCAGTTGGACAACTTCTCTGTAATACTCCCAGGGTACCTCCCCTAGCTTCCACCCTCTGTATGCTTCCTTCTTAAGTTTGAGCTTTTCTAGGAGCTGCTTGTTCATCCATGCTGCCCTCCTGGAGTTTTTACCTGATTTTCTCTTGGTTGGGATGCATCATTCTTGGGCCTGGAGAGGGTGATTCCCAATGATCAGCCAGCTTTCATGGGCCCCTCTTCCCTTCAGGATGTTAACCCATTACACTCTATCGAGCAGATCCCTGAGGAGTCTGAAATCTGCCCTCCTTAAGTCAAGGGTAGTAAGCTTACTGCGAGTCCTCCTTGCTGCCCTAAGGATCTTGAACTCCACCATTTCCTTATTGCTACAACCAAGGCTGCCTTTGAGCTTAGCATCCCTCAACAGCCCTTCCTTGTTGGTGAAAGCAAGGTCCAGCATAGCACCTCTCCTTGTTGGTTCCTCAATTACTTGGAAAAGAAATTTGTTTGTGTTTTGCAGAGTTGTCCCTCTGACAGATATCAGGGTGGTTGAAGTCCATCATGAGTACCATGAATAGAACAGAATAGAATAATTTCCATTGGAAGGGACATAGTGAAAATCTAGTCCAACTGCCTGACCTGTTCAGGACTGACAAAAAGTTATAACATGTTCTTAAGAGTAACGTCCAAATGTCTCTTAAACAGTGACAGGCTTGGGGCCTGTTCCAGCATTTGACCACCCTCTCAGTAAATAAATGCTTCCTAATGTGCTGTCTAAATATCATATGGTGCAGCTTTAACCATTCCCACAGCACAAATAAAAGCAACAAGTTGGAAAGGGTCTAGACCCTGTTCCTGTGCATCAGAGACAAAGCCCAGGTTTTTCCCATCAACACAGGATTTATTTTCCTTCAGAGTGAATCTCTGCTGGATGGACTGGGCACGTACCCAGCTCACCCTGTGTGCCCTGCCAAGTCACCCATCCCATACAATTGTTTTGGTTGAAAAAGACCTTTAAGAACATAAAGGGCAACTGTTAACCTGGCACTGCCAGTACACCACTAAAGCTTGTCCTTAGGCACCACATCTACACATTTTTAAAATACCTCCAGGGATGATGTCTCAACCACTTCCCCAGGCAGCCTGTTCCAGTGCCTGACAACCCCTTCAGTGAAGAAAGTTCTCCTAATATCCAATCTAAACCTCCCCTCATGCAACCTAAGCCCAGTTCCTCTTGTTCTATCACTTGTTACTAGGGAGAAGAGACCCAACACCCACCTTGCTACAACCCCCTTTCAGGTAGTTGTAGAGAGCAATAAGGCCTCTCCTCAGCTTCCTTTGTTCCAGACTAAGCAACCCCAGAGACTCCACACGACTCGCACCCTAAACTCTTGACCAGTTTCGTTGCCATTCTTGGAATACACTCCAGCACCTCAGTATCTTTCGTTGCGAGTTGCCCAAAACTGAACGCAGGATTCAACGCGTGGCCTCACCAGCCCCAAGCTCAGGGGGATGACCGCTTCCCCAGCGCTGCTGGCCACGCTGCTGCTCATACAAACCAGGCTGCTCCGGGACACCTGGGCGCACCGCGGGCCCAGCTGCCGACCGACACCCCG